AAGTTTATTTGCCACGAAAATCGCAATAAAGAAAATTCAAACTATAAACTTACTTAATTTCTTCATCTTTCATTTTTCGCAATTGTACTATACTCCTTACATTCTTTTTTTTTATTTTCATGATTTTTAAAATTTCAGGAGTCACAAATGGCAATTGAACTAATGGATTCTCATGAAACCACATGGCTTGAACTAACATTTGAGAAACTTCCATGCATCGCATACTGGTTTGCAACCAGCGATGTGCTAAAGCAATTTCTAGAAGACCAGTAACAAGGTGAATGGATCTCTCAACAATGAAATATTTGTCTATGAAAATATAAGAAAATAAAAAAAAAAGGTTATAAATAAACTATATAATATAAATAAAATACACATTAAAAAAAAAATGGATATATACCCTTCAATAGGTCACTATCATCGATATTGACTCTTAACAGATGAGCGTATAATAAAGCATTCGCTTTTTGGCAAAACGGAGCGTTATACTGTTTCAAATGAATAAATTGTTATAAAAATTATAAAATTTAAATTCATAAGTAGAACCCACCCTTTTACTCTTTTCGTATTTTTCACCAAACCGTCTTTCCAACTCATCTTTTACAGAAGTAATAATCGGAGATAGCCGCGTATTATCGGTGGGACGTTGCTCCACTAATTCTTTGAATTCGATAGAAGCAGAAAGTAGATCTAAAATTTGTTTAAAGCTAGTATTTGCTCTCAAATCTCTGAAATAAAGATCCATAGTGTGAGTCCTTATTCCATTCTTAGTATAACTGCTCGAACTATACCACCAACGACCCTATAAATAAAATTAAATATAAATAAAATTAGGAACATTATTTTAAATTCCACATTATTTCAACAATGTACAATAATAAATATTTTAATTTTACCACATAGAAAGGAAGTAGCAATCCAAAGACAACACCATAAATACCAAGTACAATTGGACTATTTCTTGCTTCAACCAACCAAGTAGGAAGAGCAATACCCAAGGAATAAGCTAAATAAATAAATTTAATTCATTTCAAATAAAAAGGTTATTAAAATAACAAATTGATATATAAATAAAAAGAGTGGATAAAGAATAAAATAATAATACGAACCTTGTTTACCATCTGGATGACCAAATTCTTCAAAATTTCTACGAATTTCCTCATTAGTTAACACTTTATAAGCTTTGGAAATATTGATAAATTTCTCTTCATATTCAAGCTTTTTATCATGTGGAGCTTTATCGGGATGCCTTTATCATAAATGTGATATAAACATAGATTAATTGAAAAAATGAAAGATGAAGAAATTAAGTAAGTTTATAGTTTGAATTTTCTTTATTGCGATTTTCGTGGCAAATAAACTT